ATTTTAGTGGAAATTCTGGGCAAATTGCCATATATTTCCTTGTAATATGGGATTGATAGCTCGGTGACAAATCTTGTCTTTGTGTCAGTTTGCTCCTATCTCATTTTCTTAGTTTCAGGGACAGAGGAGACAGGCCTGCTGCTGTAATTTTGGTTGATACATTTCCAGAGACAATTAAAAATCTTTTTTGAGCATATTGCATTCTAGAAATGATTAAAGCTGTAAAAAATTCCTGCAAAATGTAGGCAGAAGTGTGACACATTACATACTTACTTGTCCTACTATATTATTAATAAAGAGTATTTTCGTTAGTTTTAACATTCGCACTAGGACAAAACAAAAATGCCTGTGTGAATCCTTACTGTTCTGATGGAAGAGATCCGATTAAAGTAGAGGCCCTTCGCTTCAGGAGCCTGACAATATATGAGACATGTAGAAAGGAATAAAAACCAAACCAAAAAACAAACAACCAAACAAAAAACAAAACCCTGCCCCAGACATACAGGAAAATAAAAAACTTGAAGTCAACTGTTGGTCTATATGCAGTGGTATAGTCTCTTCCATTTTGAGATGCCGTGATTCTGACCTTCAAGTGTGTCTCCTTGTTTTGCAGAGAAAAATTCAAAGTCAGTTAGGTGCAGGTTCAAAATAATAGAAGCCAGACATTTCAAGGGGAAGCGCTTACTGGGACAGAAATGACTGTAACAGTTACCTGCATTTGCTTAACTTGTAACACATCATGCTTGGCAACAGTAGCTCCATCTTTAGTTAGACTAAGTCCTTCTGCCTCCTGAAATTTAGATTCCGACCATCGTAGGTCTCTCATCTGAGAAACAACCTCTGATTGTCATTGTGAATTCTCTTTTTGCCCTCGGTTTTGAATCTGGTACTCAACCTTATAATGTATAAGAAGTGGACATATATCTGACACGTGTGGTGCCGACAGAATGGATATTCATTCTTTCAGCACATATTTGTTGAGCATCTGTTGTGCGCAGCCCTATGTTAAGCACTGGAGATTCAACAATGAACAGAGAAGACAAAAATACCTCCTCTTCTTGATCATGCATTCTAATGGGATAGACAGACCAGAAATAAGTTAAAGAAACAAAATTTGCCAGATGGTGGTGAAAAAGGAAAAGTAAAGCAGAGAAAGGAAACGTGGAGTGTGGAGCTGAAAATATAGATAGAGTGGCCACGGAAGGCTTTACTGAGAATAAGAAATTTGAGAAAAAAATCTAAGGAAGTGAGAGATTGAGCTATAATATATCTGGGGAAGAACGTTCCAGAAAATGCTCCATGGCAAGAGTGAAATGGAACATGCCAGGAACAACTAGGAGGCAGCATGGTGCCAGGGGAGTGAGTAAGAGGCAGAGCAGCAGGAGACGAAGGCAGGTAGTGAGGAAGAGGGCACCAGGGCCTTCGAGGTCATGCTGAGGACTTTGACTTTTTCTCTGAGAAATCATTTGAGGCTTTGGGCCAGAGGAGTGGCATCTGGCTTAGGTTTCAATAAGACCACTCTGCAGCTGGGGAAAGACGGGGAGAGATTGCAAGCAGAGACCAGCCAGGGGGCTACTGCAGTAGTCCAGGCAGCTGATGATGTGGCTTGGAACATGGTGGGGGCAGTGGAGTGGTGAGAAGTACATAAATTCTGGATTTTTTTTAAAGATAGTTCTGACAGGATTTGTCAATGGATTGGCATAGGGTATAAGAGAAAGAGAAGAGGCTAGGATGATTTGAAGGTCTGTGATCTGAGTAATTGGCAGGACGAAGTGCCATTCACTGAGATGGGGGAGGCTATGGGGACCTCAGGAACACCAGGAGCTCACTTTTGGACCTGTTAAATTGTGACCTAGCAGACATCCGGGCCATGGGGGGAGAGGTGTGCAGTGAAGGTGTAAATTTCAGAGTCATCAGCATATAAATGGTATTCAAACCCAGGAGTTGAATGAATGAGTGTAGAGAAAGCTGAAGAGGTCCAAGAACTGAGCCCTGGGGCACACCAGCATTTAGAAATTGGGCAGCAAAGGAGCCTGAGTGGAATGTACAGAAAACTAGGAAGAAAACTGGGCAGTTATGATTTCCTGGAAGCCAGGTGAAGAAAGGATTTCAAGGATGAGACAATGGTTTGTGTCAAATCCTACTGTTAGGAAAAGTGAGTTGAGAACTGAGACTTGACTGTTGCATTTACAAGGTAGAAGTGACTGGCAATGATTTTAAAAGCAATTTTAGTGGAGCAGTGGGAGTGAATGGCTGATGGAATTGGTTCAAGAAAAAATGAGAGGAGAGGAATTGGGAGACAGTATGTACAGACAAATCTCTCAAAAATTTTGCTATAAAGGGAAGGAGAGAAACGGGACATTTGTGAACGGCTTGGCTGGCTGAGACAGGATGTTCTTAGAAAAGCAGAAGCAAAAGCCTATGAGTCAATGAGGGGACATGTTTACATTTTAGCAGGGCCCCTCTGGCTGCAGTGTTGAGAAAAGACTGAAGGAGCATCCTCTGGTTCTGGGCCATCAGTCGTGGCCACATTCCATACTTTTGTCCTATGCCAACTTGCGGATCATGCCAGTTACGTGCACGGATGAGTCAGCAAGAAGCCAGGTCATCAAGATGAGAAGCAGAGCTAGGGCTTGCAAAGGCTTGGAGTTAAGACGTGTCATTGGGAGCACAGTAGGGACAAGTAAAAGAGGTAGAACTCAGTAGAACATCACTGTTGCCTCCTTGCCAGGAACACATACCACAAAACTGATGCTAATGCCTTAGGAACCAGAAGCGGTGTGAGGACAGTGCTGGCTCTGGTGTCCTGAACTCTCTCTTTCAAACTAAGTATTAACCCTTGTTTTTTAAATATAACCATGAGATAGAAAGGCCACTATTTATTCTCTGGAGGTGGAGAGGAGCAGGAGTGTGTAGGGTAGTTGCTGTGGCCCTACCCTAGAGTGGAAAAAATAATATATGGAGAAAAAGATCATACCTGTGAAAAGTGTGTAGCTGTCAGCCTTCAGCTCTCTTGTTTCATTACGTTCATTAGAGGTCAGGTTGAGGGGAATTTATCCTCCTCCCCCTCTGCTCCACCATGACTTCTCTGGGGGCTGTGACCCTCCCATGCCCCACATTATTGCTGCTTTCTGGTCAGCTCCCTGGTGCCATAGAAGAGTAGAGGGCAGGGATGGGTCTGGGTTAAAGGTATCCCTCCCCCACCGCTGCCCGCCCTGGGAGAGGGAACTGGAGGACTGATGGGGATCCAGCTGCCCTCTGCAACGTGACAGCTGTCTTCCTGAGAACACCTCCCAGTGTGAATCCACACGTCTAGATTAAATTCTCGATTGAGGACTTCACACTGGTGTGTCATTTGAGAATCTGCTTTTGCTGTGTAGGCAGCTGATGCAGTACAGTGTGCTGAACTGTTGTGATCTGTCCAATGGTTGTCCACACTCTGTGCCTTCAAAGTTGAGATGTTATAGTTACATTAGTTGTACTTATGTACACGTATTTTTTTGGCACTTGTCCTTATGTCTTTTTTAGGCCTCATTTCCATTATTTTATAAGACAAAGTCTACAAATTCTATTGCTTTGGAACTCTCAACCCCAGGAAAGATACATGAATTTTGCATCCAGAGTGCTGAATAAATGTTCTTGCGTAAAAGTTGTTAACTTCTAGGCAATAAGAGGTATAGAACGAAAGTATGAATTATGCAGAGTAAATTGCTAATATGATTGCTTTGCTTTAGAAAAAGTGCTACATATACATAATTTAGTTAGACTAATGCTTTGTATTTAAACACATTTAATGTATAAGCTCCCATTGTTTATTTTTAAAAAATTGCTAAGCATCCTCATGGTATTCCCACATAGATAAACTTTGTAGAATAGATCAGAAGACGTAAAGTAATTCAACTCTGTTGGGTCCCCCAGATTGGAGACCCTACTGTGTGTGAACCAGTTTCTGCAGACATTCCAGTCTCACCCCTGTCTCAGAGACATACACACATGACTGTTACCCAAGACAGGATCCAGGAAGGGCCCATGTAGAGAATTACAGACAAAAATGGCGGGGGGTTCAAGGGAGGGAGAGAGCGCATTCGTTGGGGACATTAGTCCAGGCTTTGTAAAGGAGACGGTGTAAGGAATGGGCTTTGAAGGCTCTAGGCTGGGGAAAGTTGTTCCAACCAGGTAAAGGTAAGAGCCCCTGGAAAGATGTGGATGTTAGGAAGCTATGGCTGAGAGTTGAGGAAAATACAGGGACACAGTGTCCTCTAGTCCAATTGGAAACATGGATTTTAAAGAGGGATAAACTGGGAGGAAATGGTAATTTTAACAATAATAGCCGGAAATGGGGGGTACCTTCTTCTCAGATGCCAGATGTTGTAGAAAATGCTTTACTTATGGAATCTCTTTTAATCTGGAAAAGGTCAGGTCTATTTTTGTTGAAGAGTTTTTCATAAAAGAGCTGCATTATCAGAGCTGTGATAAAGCGGTTCGCACAGAGATCAAGCACAGGGAAAGAGAGAAGACGGAGAGCACTCAGGGGCCCATTTGTATGTTCCCAGCAAGGGGTAATGAGGACCTGAGTTATTCCAGCATGCATGTAAGTGGAAATAGAAAATTGGGTTGGTTTGAATCAGAATTCACTTTAAACTTCATGTAACAGTCTCTGCTAAAAACAGTATTTTCTAACTCAAGACACTTCAGTGGAATCTTGAGGACCTAGATGGCCCCTGCTCTGTCCTAGGTTCCTTCACTGGGATATGGAAACCAAGAGTCAATAAGGCTGAAGTCTTAGTGTTATCTGACACAGAAACCCAGAGGTGACACAGGTTCTTCCCTCTCTCTCATTCCCTACATCTTAACTGTCCCCAGTTGACTGATGAGTCAAGATTTTCTCATAAGATTGTTGACACCCTTTCTCATTTCATTTCCCAAAAAGCTCAGATGCCCTGAGTGCTCCAGTTTTGAGCTACTGTGAAATACTAATCCCACTATTAACTGTCTTGCAGATTCCATCGTGATTGGATTTTGGGTCGGTCTTGCGGTCTTTGTGATTTTCATGTTTTTTGTGCTGACCTTGCTGACCAAGACAGGAGCCCCACACCAAGAGTAAGTTTGGGCTGTTCCTAAATGTCTCTTAAGCCCCACAGGGAACCAAAGAATCAAAAATAGTGTCCAGGGCTGGGTTTTCTTCCAGTGGGGGAGAGATGGGGCTGGCTAGGGATTTGCTGTCTGGACCCAGGCGCCTGTGGGGTGGGATCCGCCTTCTGCCTGGCACTTTGCCTCTTGCCTGTGGGGCTTGTTTCCAAGTGGACTCTTGTGAATCTGGGTTTTTTGGTCCTTTTCTATAGTCTTAATGCTGATCAGGCCTGATTTTTACATTGAAATATTTATTAATTAGGATGTATTTTCTTCTTAGTCCCAAAAGGATTTACATGACTTGCCAGACTAAAAACAGTGACAAAAGACAATAGCAAAAATAGGATGAAAACTATTTTTAAAAAACATTTCAAGGAGCAGAGAAATAGTTGTTACTGGATATTTGACTAAATTAATTATTGACAATAATCACTGAATTCAACACTGAGTTTCCTTGAAACTAGGATCAAAGTGGAAACACTAAGGATTATATAATTCTCATGGCATGATAAAGAACATTTGTGTTGGGCTTTGGATTTATGGAGGAAATTATTACACGGATGCTTAAAGAATGCTGAGTAACATCAAAATGTATGGATTCAGTTATGGTTTGCAAAAAACTCAGAAATGTTTTAGAGAATTTTTTTTAATCCCAAAATTTCAAAAAAAGGGAAAAATAATGTATGTTGGATGCCTTATTAGATGGTCCCAGTAGGCAACAACACACTCAAATTAGGTAATTAGAAGAGCTTTCGAGAAAGGGATTATTCACAGTTTGTGTCGAGGGAAGAGGACATCCCTGCAGGATAGCGCAGGACCCCAGGGCTAGCGGCACTGAGGAGTGGATACCAGTCTGGATCTGAAGGGGGCCCTCTCTGGAAGCCAGGAGTTCTGCAGACAGGGTGGCTGAGAGGAGTCGTGACCTTGGGTCGAGGAGCACAGCTAGCCCAATGTGACCTCTCAGGAAGGGAGCTTCAAAATAAATACCCACACCTAAGTTTCCTCCGTCCTCTGCGTCTTCCACCACTGCTCCCCATGGGCCGAACAGAACGACACAGCCGGCAGTCAGAGCCTCCATCAAAGGTCAGTTTCCTGGGGCACAGAGCAGGATGGGGAAGGGTGGGAAGTGATCCAGGAAGAACTTGAGCACAAACCCTAATATTTCACATCTGGGATCTCACTTAGCCCTCGCAGCCTGGCAGCAGCATTCTCATTGCTGTATCTCGTCATACAGTCTCCAGCATCTGTTGTTCGGTCTTCAGCCTACGCTTGAACTATAACAGCTACCTGGGTAAAGGGAACGGTGCTGCCCATCATTCAGCTATTTGCAGACATTCAGGTCTGGAAAAAAAAATTAAACACATTTTAAATGAAAGGAAAATACCGTTTTACTGAAGCACATGGAGACGTATGGTGAAGAATCTCTTTAACAGCCACTAAAAAGCCACTATAAAGATGTATAGTATATTTAAATGTATAACATTTAAATCAGTGGACTGTGAGTAAAGCACATGATCCTCCATAATGTGGGTGGGCCTCATCCAATCAGTGGAAGGCCTTCCTAGAAACAGCAAAAGGCTTGCCAAATTCCTTTTGGCTTGAAACTCATTCCTGCAGATTTTGGACTTGCCAGCCTCCACAATCACATGAACCAACTCCTTTAAATAAATCTCTCTCTCCCCTTAATGTGTCATGGTGACCCTGGGTAGCTGAGACTTCATCTCCACTCTTTCAGTCTGCAGTTCAGTCCTACTGCTAGATGGTTTCTCTTTTGATGGCGGTTCTGAATAATCTCAATCAAAGAATGGAGGTCACTGTAACTCTACATGCTGTTAATGAGGGTAAGGAGAAAGTCTAGCCTTTTTTCACTTTCAATGGAATAGTGGATCAGCCCTCAGGGCCACTTTAAATGCTTTTTTTGAGTCCGAGGCAGTGTAAGATATGGAATTGGGTTGTAGTATATTATAAGAGAAAACCAAAAGAAACAGACATGTGGAAAAATCCCTAAATGGATCAGTTAAAAAGGCTTTTAGAACTTAGTAAACTTGACATTTATTTGGCAAGAATTTTCTCTAAAATAGACATCATTTTTTCCATTTGGCCAAATTCAACATAGAACAACCAATTTTAAGGTTGCCTGTGATAAATAGGCATGCAAGAGAGAATGATAAATCACTGAGAATAATAATAAGAGCCTTGTTTTTAATGTTTACCGTATTCCAGGATCTACTAATCACTTTATATGTCTAATCCCACTGAGTCCTCCCGGGAAGATGAAGTAAATCCTGTAAGTGTTCCCACTTCACAGACAAGAAAAGTGAGGCTGAATCACTTGTCTGAAGCCTCGCAGGTAAAAGCGGTGGAGCCAGGCCTCAGCCTAAAGCGTCTTTCACTCGGAAGCTCCTTATTAGCATGACATTACATAATCTCATATCAGTAGCTTTTAATCTCCTTCTGTTGAACCAAAGATATTAGCAAGCAATCAGATTTGTTTTCCTTTACCACAGACTGGACCAAGCATGGGCTCTGGAGTCACACGTTTCCAGATTTACTTACTGAGCCTTTGCCTGGATTCCTGATCTCTCTATGCTTGAGAGTCCTCATTTACAGAAATAAGTAGTATCTGCCTCCTAGGATTAGTGTAAAGGTTAAATGAGCAAATGCCTGTGGGGCTGCTGCCTTACGCGGGGCTCACATGGCGCTCAGTGAGTATTAGGCCAGCCCTTCGTTGCTGGTGGGGGACCTGGTGAGAGCTGAAGGGTTTGGTAAAGAGTGGGAGAGAGAAGAAGAAGAAACCCATCCTCCCCTGGGACAGCCAGGACCTCAGCATTCACGTTGTACCTACACTTGTCAAAATTCTACTTGCCTCATTCTACCCCAGCTTCAACTTGGTGTGTCTCTCAGTGAAACAGTAGGATGACTTTAGAAAGGAGGTTAAGTAGAGAATCTTGGTGGTGGGTTGGAAAGACTGACACCTCTGAATTCTGACTGCTTTTATATCAGGCTCTCTGGGTAGTTTGTCATGAAGGATAGTTCCTTCCGCCAGTAGGGTATCAGGCAGCATCCTTCTGGAATATGGCTCCAGCGTTCTGGTTAAGATACCTGATCAAGTTTGTGAGCAGAAATCAAAATGGACTCGTGCTGAATCTACCACTTAATTCTATCCTTTTCTCCATGGAGGCATCTCAGGGCAGGGCTGAATGGCTCTCGAGGATCTCATCATTGCTGACACACGGAACGAGTATGTGCATCCCTTTGAAAGTAGTAAGACACAAGGATGGCAGATACCACAACTTGTGCCCCCAGGCCCTGTGCCCACAATGCACGTCACTAACCGACTGTGTGATCTTACCTGCGTAGCCAAGACTTTGCCTCAGAGTCGTTTTCAAAACACTACTCCAGGCAGCGATCAGGAATCACTCCCAGCTTACCTGAGAGAGAACATGTATTTGCCTTCCCTGGCTGGACCTCCATTTACCAGTGTTGGATGGCGGGAGTTGAGACCCATTCAACAGCACAGAGCCAATGACAGCACGACAAAATGAGCAGGTTTTTTCCCTGAAGTTCTCAACTTGGGATAATACTGGCATAAGAAATTCAATTTTGGAGTCACTGACTACTCAATGGCTTCTGTTAAGAGAAGGACAGTGTAATAGTCGGACTGGGGCATGAGACAGTAACAAACAACTCCCCAAATCTCAGTCTAACACAGCACAGGTTTATTTCTTGCTCAAGCTGAGTGTTTGCTGAGGGTCAGCAAGGGGTGGACAGAAGCTTCTCCAATTGTAGCTGCACTGTCTCCACCACTCGGCCTCCTGGGCTACTGTGACGGGGAAGAGAACACATGGAGATCTCACACCTGCCCTTCTGTCCTTCAGCCCGGACGTGGCCCACATCCCTTCCTCTCACAGCTCATTGGGCAGAACCAGCCACACCCACCAGAGAGCCCAGGCTGGGAAGGGTCATCTGTGTACCCAGAAGGAGGAGAGAACCAGATATTGGTGAGCACTAGTAAAGTATGTTGCAGAGAGAGAGAGACTGTTATAAAGCTGACATCACCTTTCTTAAAAGCTTTTAGGCCCAAGAAACAGCTTTAATGGGGATTATTTTTCCCATGAACTATTTGCTGTTGTGAGGGGGAAAAAATCCCTCTTACCTGGATCCTTTATGGACCATGAAGATAAAAGAACCATTTCCCCCTGCTTTCTCAGCTAAAGAGCCATTTACTCCATCTGCTGTCTTGTTAAAGCATTTTAGCCCCATTTTCATAAATCTGCCAGAGAGAGTAATGGGAAAGGCTTGGATCCCATTTTTATGTTGAATATAATGGAGTTCTTAAAAAAAGTATCAAGTTGCAGACATTATATACCTCGAATGCTCTCCTTTTGTAGCCTTTGCTAAGTGCACCTTGTCCAGGTGGAGATGCTCTTCATTTAGGGGTAAGTGCGGGATTGCTCATGACCTTGTAAAAACGGAAATTACGTTTTACCTTGAAGTGCAATTTACCAGAATAGCCACTCACTAAAGATGGGTACAGGGCACCGAAAAGCTAAGAGCAGGAAAATGGCAGAGCTCGAGGTCTGTGATAATGACCGATGCCACAGGAGCTGGCTGGCAAAGTGCAGATCTGGTGAGTGGTTCCTGAGGAAGTCCTGTCATTCCGAGACATCTACCACTGTCAACAGGTAGAAAATCTGACTATTTTATGTATCGGATTCAATTCGATTCAATTCAACACCTTTGTTCAGGAGTTGCTTTTAATTCCCCGTCAATTAAGAGTGTTTATGGGGTACGCAGCTACACGTTGCCTGGAACTGTGCTGAGGGCTGTTCCAGGATAGTGGCCTGTTCCTTGCTCTAGAGAGACTGACATCTTCCTGGTAAGTCAGAAGTGCCAACTAAAGCAACCAAAGGCGCTTCCAGAGGGGAGGGTTCGATCAGCCCTCTGTCAGGGCTTGTTACATGAGATAAAGCTCTCAGCATGGGCTAAGGCTCCAACATGAGTGGTTATTATTATTTTCTCACTGATTGTTAATGAATGAAGGTTTCATTCTTAGTAGGTCTTTGTTTAGCTTACGCATCTTTAAAAGTCCAGTGGAAGTGACTTCTGGAAATACCAGGTGCCGTCAGTTGGACTGCCCACTGCTTTTCATGAGTGGGGCAAACCTGAGGACAGTTGTGGGCATGCTAAGACTCTTAGCAAAGCAGCAGGTACTGCATTTGTAAAAACTAGTCATAAATCTGGAAAATTCCTAGGGGAGTAATCCAGAGCATTGCAGGTGTTTCCCCCTGCAAATGCAAAGGGGTCTGTCCTCCTGGTCTGATTTGTCTTTTGAGTCACACAGAAAGAAGCGCTTTCCTAAACCCTGGGGGTGGCTGTGCCTCTTCCAGGAACCAGGGCCTTGGACCACCTGCAGATACAGCTGTTCACCGCAGATGAGCTGTACACTCACTGAGGGTCTAATGACTATGAGCCCCTTTGAGGGAGGCAGAGATGAACGAAATATAGCACAGCATTATTTAGGAGAGAAAAGACCCTAGACAAATCGCTCTGACACGAGGCAGGAAGGGACGCATCCTGTAAGAGAAAGTCGGTACAACATGGGAGGAACACGGAGGAGGGACAGATTCCTTCCCATTGGGAGATCAGACCTCTAGGAAGGCAGTGACATTTGAGTTGGACAGTGAAGAAGGTATTTGATTTTGATAGACAGAGAGAGGTGGAAGGGCCCATCAGGTAGAAGGAACAGTATAAGACAAGGCACAGGGAGGGACAGTCCTGAGTGTATGGGGGGACAGTCAGGTCCCATGTGGCTAGACTGTAGGGTTAGTGAGGGGACCAGTGGGAGAGGACACTGGAAAGGCCAGGTGATGTGAGTGGAAGGTCGGAAACATCACGCAGAAGAGTTTGGGGAGTCAAGGTTTGCGAGCAGGGGATTGTCATGGGAGTAAATGACAATCAGTGCAGACGCCAGAGGAAGACATGGATCTTCATGTTAGAGGCTCTCTGTTCAATATGGAAAATTCCACAGGTGGAGAGAATAACAACACAACCTGTAATGAGAAGACAAGACCAAGAATCAGAAGAGTCTGGACAGTCTTTCTATTCTGGCTGGTGGAATTCGGTGATGTTGCAATCGATAGGTTAAGTCCAAATTGCATTTCTTATATCAAGCTGAAAATAAGGAATACAAATGCTTAAATAAGTGAAACATGTGATTTCAAGCTTCAAGTTTCTACCAGAATAAGCAATTCTGAATGCTGAGAAAGACTGACAACGCCAAATGTTGACAGGGTTGTGAAACAGCTGTAGCTCTCGTCCATTGTGGTAAGAGTGGAAAATGGCACAACCACATTGGAAAACTTTGCAGTTTCTTATAAAGTTAAGCATACATCTACTCTGTGACCCAGTAAGTCTACTCTTAGGGATTTACGCAACAGCAAAAGAAACACGTCCCTACAGAGAGACCGTTCAAGAATGTTCATAGCAGCTTTACACACAACAACCCCCAAACTGGAAAAACCCAAATGCCCTTCAGCAGCAGAATGAATAAATAAATTGTAGTGTATTCATATGATGGAATATTACTGAGCAAGAAAAAGAATAAACTACTGTTACATCCAACAACATGGATGAATCTCCAAAACGTTATACTGAACAAAAGCATCGAGGCTCAGAAGGCTGTATATCGTATGATTCCATTTGTATAAATTTCAAGAGCCGGCTAAACTAGTCTGTGGTGATAAAACTCAAAACAGATGGCCTATAGGAGGTGGAAATTGACTGGAAGTTCAAGAACAGGGAAAGCTAATCAACGGAAATAGAAATCAGAGCAGTGTTGCCTAAAGGGGGTGGAAATTGAATGGAAGGAAACTTTGTAGGATGAAGGAAATATTCTGTATCTTGATTGGGGTGGTGGTTACATGGGTATATACATTAATAAAAACACATTGAATTTTATATTTAAGACCTATGGATTTCAGTATGTAAATTTTACCCAATGGTAAGATGAATGGAAACTGAATTGAAGCAAGCTGTGTCCAGGATCACAGTTTTTCACATACAGGTCCTATAGTTTATCAGTCAAGGAAAGAAAATAGGAATAAAAGGATGATCTGTTGAGCATTTAATGTTTACCAGACTCGAAGAATACAAAGGTGACCTTTCCCCTTGTTCTCAGGGATGGCGAGTCAGACAAATCCACGGTTATCACACCAAGAGGTCATCAGGAGAAAGGTCAGGGGAAGCAAGGTGGAGCAGGAGGGCAGCTCATAGGGGCCTGAATGTCCACCGCCTTGGCTGTGCCCTGGGAAGGGACAAAACTCCGTTGGTCTTCTGTGCCTGCATTCTTCTGCAAGGATGGTTAATGGACCCAGTTCTGAATGCTGGAAAACGTAGCCTGTGATATGGATGAAGTGCTGCACACAGTTGGGTTTCTGGGTCTTTTATACTCAGGTGAAGCCCCAGGCAGGCAGAAAAACTATCACTTAGGGCTCCTTAGCCCTGGATGGGGAATGGAAGAGGCCCCAGGAATCTTTTTTTTTTTGGTGAGGAAGATTCACCCTGAGCTAACATCCGTTGCCAACCCTGCTCTTTTTTTGCTTGAGGAAGACTAGCCCTGAGCTAACATCCATGCCAATCCTCCTCCATCTTGCACGTGGGCTGCCTCCACAGCATCACTGATGAGTAGAGCAGGTCCGTGCCCGGGATCCGAACCCATGAACGGGGCCATCGAAGCGGAGCATGCCGAACCCTAACCACTCTGCCATGGGGCCGGGCCTGCCCCAGCAATCTTAATCATGCTTTTTCCAAACACGTTAATCCCCTTTTTCTAGGTGACATTTCAGTTTATTAGGTCACAGGTTGCTGGCACACTCATTCCTGTTCTCAAACGTCTTTTAAACCTGAGTGAAGTGACAATTAGGGGAAGAAAATCACTCACTGAAAGATAAGACTGCTTAAATTTGCATTAAAGCAGAGGTCGTCAGAGTCTCTCCAAAGTGATTTTTCTCTGAATTCTGAGTTGGTGACCTAGTGACTGTTGTACTCTTGTGTGCATCATTATCTTCACATCACGTTTGCACAGCGGGCGATGAGATTTGTTAACCAGCTTATTACTAAAAGGAAAAGCTCAGGCTTCCGAGAGGAATTCCCTGTCTGATGTCACCCAGGTAATTGTGGTAGGAGACAGAGCTGCTATCACAGTCCCTCAGCTGTCTGGATTGCAAAGCTTCTGGGATTACTGACGTCTGAGATCCAAGTGACTCTTGATAATCTGGAGGTTTTCCAGACCTGTAAATTGATCCAAGCCCCCTGCCCCGTGGCAGCTTGGTCATCAGCACCTTATCCTGAGTGATGGGATGGGAAGGAAGAGACTTAAGAACTGAAATCCCTGAGATAACACTCTTTGAATACAGACTCTGGAGCCTAATTTTCGTCAGATTCTGTTCCGGATTTGAAAACGTGTTCAAACATGGTTCTTGCTCTTAAGGACTTGCTACCTATGTATGAGCAACCTTAACATAAATTTACATAAATCTGGTGATTAGATGGGATATTAGGTTATTCAATTTATCCACGCTCTTTCTTTCCTTCACTTGTGGGACTAGTTGAGAGTTATGTTATTCATTCACTCACTGATTTATTACCATTGAATTGCTCATTTGTTCCACACTAAATGGAACGAGGAATTAGGAACCTGGGTTTTATTCCCACTCCTATTCCTAACTGGTGGTGTGACTCAAGTGGGCACTCTGACTGCTCCTTGCCTTACCTTATACATCTGTAAAATGGGTAGAGTAATTCTTGCCTGAAGTGACGGCACCGGTCAGTTTTGAGAATCGAGTGAGATAAATCGATAGGACAATGCTCTAACAAATATGTAACTCGACCCTGTGAGATAGCACTATTTTTGTTCAGGCCTGCCTGATGTGGGTCAGTGGTTCTAAACTTGAGCATGAGTAGTGATCCTTAGGGATTCTATGAAATACAGATTACTGGCCACACCTCCAGAAGTTCTGAGGGTCTGTGACCCAGGATTCTGTATTCTAAGAAGCATTTCAAGTAATTCTGATGCTGATGATCCGAGAATCCCGCTGAGGAACACGAGTGTATGATGCAGAATATCAGGGGATTCCTCAGCAAGCTGTCTCTTCTTGGGACTGTCCAGGGGTCCTCATCTTGAGGTTTGCCTTGGGTTTATTCGTACATGTTCAGAAGTGATGTCTCTCACTTCTGATGTTTGTCTGCATGTTCTGTACAAGGACCTGCACTCAATAGATAATCAGAGGAAATATGCCGGCCTGCCCTACATGCCCAGAACTATGATTCTGCAGGTGAATGAGCTGGAATGTAAGCAGTCTTTTCTTTTCCTTTCCTTTCTAGCAATGCAGAGTCTTCGGAGAAGAGATTCAGAATGAACAGCTTTGTGTCAGAGTTCGGAAGACCTCTGGAGCCAGATAAGGTGTTTTCTCGCCAGGGCAACGAGGAGTCCAGGTCTCTCTTTCACTGCTACATCAATGAAGTGGAACACTTGGACAGGGCCAAAGCTTGTCACGAGACCACACTCCTCGACAGCAATGTTCCACTCCAGGAAGCCATCAGAAGCAGTGGGCGGCCAGAGGAGGAGCTGAACAGGCTCATGAAGTTTGACATTCCCAACTTCGTGAACACGGACCAGAACTCCTCCTTTGGGGAGGATGATCTTCTGATTTCAGAACCACCTATTGTTCTTGAAAATAAGCCAGTTTCCCAGACCTCATACAAAGACCTGGATTGAGAAACAAGCTCCGTAAAGTGTCTTTTGGAAGATGTGGGTTTTGTCTGTATCGTGAGAAATCTCCATTCACCAAAATTGTGTGTGTGTCTGTGTGGGCGAGAGAGAGAGAGAGAGAGGGAGAAAGACAGAGAGAGAAGAGAGCCCCTCAGAGGAGAGCTGATTAAGCTGAGATTTATGTCTTTAAACGCACTTGGGGCTTTTTTTGGATTAAAGTATTTAGACTGTCTCATCTTCGTTGTTGAAAAATTTGGCCACATACTTGGTGTCAGTGATCTTGAATGGGGGTTGGCATACTGTTCCAGTCTGGCCCTGCTGCTACCATGCTCCACCTTAGCAAGTCGCTTTACCTCTCTGGGCTGCCACATTTTACCTGTAAGTGAGGAGTCTGGAGTAGATGATCCATGCCAGCTCTCATAGTTTGTGAATTTACAACTTTGCATCCAGACAAGGCTGGGATCCACCTAAAGCAGTATAAACTAGGGCACTGCCTCCTATCTCTTGTAGAATCCCCCATGTCTGACCTTCCACTCAACCCTTAACTGAGCCAAGCTTTCTATAGGGGCCTGAGTGTCTACCAGGATGTCTGGAGACTCATCTCACACAGACACTGTGGCCAACATTTCTGTTGGTTGAGCTGAAACAGCTCTTCTGAGGATCTCCAGCCACCCATGCTCAGACCTGGGGACGGCCCCCCCAGGAGTACCGGTCAATGATACATTGCATGGCACTGTCCCCAAAAAATGTAGGGAAGGTTGTCAGCTGAGTGAGGGGAGGTCCTTCTGTGTCCCTGTGCTGGTGTATCTATGTTTGGTTACACTGCTGTGCCATTGGCTACTGAACAAGAAAAGTGCTATTTGCCATGCTGTCTATTTACTTGGCAGATGTGTAGGTGATGGTTATGCGGCTAGTGTGTGGGCTCTGAGCTGAGATGGTGAATGGGCTGTAAATAACCCACCAACACATATTCAGGGTGGCCTGGTGCAACACAGAGTTAAACCTGCACACTGGTGTTGGAAACAACTTGTCTTTGCACAGAGTCAGTTGCATGACCAGCTGCTAAACTCTCGGTGGCATTTTCATTGTGAATTTGTTCACCACCTGTCTTGCTTAAGCTAAATAATAAATGTATTTGAATGCACAGGAATTTTCTCTTGTCTTTTGTTTTCAGACATCAATTTTTTCATTTCCTTTAGAAACGATTCCATGTTTATGACACCTCGTAATTTCTATCATCCCTACGATCCCCGTGGTCTGAGTAATGCACCAAATTTCATTTAGGAATTATTCCACCCAAAGTAATCCCTTTCCTATAATCTCTTTTGAGGAAAATATTATTCTTTAAGACTCTGAACAGTAGAACAAAGCATGGAATATTTCTTGTAATTAACCCACATTCTTGCAAATAGATACTATTTTCATTAAAGAATGCTGATTTTATTAACTTTTACTAATATTATTATTCATGATTTAAGTAATCAAATAAAACCATGGGCTATTTCTTATTAAGATTCAAAGCTATTTAAGTGGTATCTTATTTAGAAGTAGATTTATTAGTCTGAAGAATGAAGGATATTTAAAAGTTGGAAAAATATCCATGACTATACCATCATTTTTGTTAACTAAATGTCAAGAACTGGGAAGGGTCTAGGATTTTACCCCCCCTTGCAAGCTAACAAGTCAGCCTGGCACAGTTTTGTGCATGCCGGCAGAGGACACAAGACTCCTGGGTCAGAGATAAGGAACTTCATTACAGCACAGCAGGCAGCAGGTGCTTCATGTTCATGTTGGTTCCTGAATTTATTTCCTATCCCTGTTGTAACAAAGTACCGCAAACTTAGTGGCTTAAAGCAACACAGATTTATTCTCTTATAGTTCTAGAGGGCAGAAATCCAAAATCAGTGTCAGTGGGCTAAAATCAAGGTGTCATCAGGGCTGTGTTCCATCTGGAGGCTCCAAGGAAGAATCTATTTCCTTGCCTTTTCCAGCTTCCAGAGGCTGCTCACACTCCTTGGCTCATGACCCTGTATCTCTGCCACCTCTGCTTCTACTTTACATCTCTACCTCTGACCATCCTGTCTCTCTCATGAGGACCCTAGTGATTATATTGGGTTACCCATGATCATCGCCAATCTCAAGATCCTTAACTTGATAACATCTGCAAAGTCCTTTTGGCCACGTAAGGTAACATCTTCACAGGTGCGAGGGATTAGCTCATGGACATGTTTGGGGGGCCATTAGCCTACCACAGTCTTCCCTTTGGCCCCAAAGATTCATGTCCGTCCTACGTGCAAAATACATTCACCTCATCCCAACATCCTTCAAAGACTCAATTATTACAGCATCAACTCAAAGTCCATTATATATAGTCTGAATCTTATCAGCTCAAAAGTCCCACATCTCATCATCTTAATCGTCTAAGTCAGGTAGGGGTGAGACCCTGGGTATGATCCAACCCAGGGAAAAATTCTCTATCTGCGGACCGTAAAACTAGAAAACAAGTCATTTGTTCTCAAAATGCAATGGTGGGACAAGTGTAGGATACCAGTTATACACATTCCTGTTAAAAAGGGATGTCACTAATGCCAAGCAATTTCAAAATTCAACCGGGCTAACTCCATTATGTTTCAAGGCCTGGAAGCAATCCTCTGTGGCCTGTGGCTTCCCTCTGGGCCTGTAGCTCTACCCTTGAAATCATCCTTCTTTTCTCTTGAAGGGTAGAATAACTAAGTGGTTTATTAACCCGTTTCCTGCATGTAGAATTTCGGGAGTCTGACAGACTTCTTTCATCTTGTCCTCTCTCTGCCCTTAAAGCCCAAGTTAGCAGTGTTTCTGCTGGTGTAACATTCTCAAGAACATTGTGAGTTTCCTCAGTGTGTGACATGTATTCATTCCATTAGACAATAGGCACAAATTACACCACAGAGTCATTCCCTCTTGAGGCAAGGGCATGACCTTTTGTAACTCCAAGCCAGTCAGCATAAGGTGGCTTCTGCTTTGATTAAGGGCAATTCTCTAGGGAAGGGGGCACTAGTGGGCCAACCGCCCCAGCAGCAGCAGGGAATAACCCACTGGATAGTAAAGGAAGCTGGATGGAACACTACCAGCACACTTTTATAAACAGTAACAGGTGACACTGTTACTAGTGACACTGTTTGGCACTAAGCAGCATGCTAAGTTAACTTTTGTAATCCTACTGTGAGAACTCTCAACACAGAGGCTTAAACAATCCTTTTAAATATAAGTTGTCAGTTTCCTTCTCTGCTCAAAACCCTGCAATGGCTTCCCGTTTCACTCAGGGAGGAAGCTGGAGTCCTTACAATGATCTCAAAGCTTTCCTCCCCGCTGGGCACCCAGCTGATTTAATCTGTTCTCTGCCTGACTGACTCTGCTCTAGCCACACTGGCCTCCTGCTGTCCCCTGAAAACATCAGACATGCACCCATCTCAGGGCTGTTGCCCTGCTGGTCTCTCCGTCTGGAACACTCTTCCCCTAGATACCCACACGGCCCACTCCCTCAAGTCTTTCCTCAGATGCCCCCATCATGGGTCAAATTGTATTCCCCTCCCAGATTCATATGTTGAAGTCCTAACCCCAATACCTCCGAATGTGACCCTATTTGGAAACAGGGTTGTTGCAGATGTAATCAGTTAAGATGAGGTCGTTAGGGTGGGCCCTAATCCACTATGACTTATATCTTCATGAAAGGGGGAAATTTGGATACAGAGACATGCCTAGAAGGAAGATGACGTCAAGAGATGGAGAGAGAGGCCTGGGAGAGTCCCCCCTCACAGTGCTCGGAGAAACCAACCCTGCCGACATCTGGATTTCAGACTTCTAGTTCCAGAACTATGACACGATACATTTCTGTTGTTTAAATCACCCAGTTGTAGTACTCTGTTACGGGAGCCCTAGCAAAATAATACCTCGCTCCTCAATGTTCTTAAGGAGGTGTACGCTGGCCATCCTCTTTCCACTGGGAACCTGCATGGCCTCATCCCACCCCAGCACCCCATCTCCCTGTTCACCCTGTTTGTCTTTCTCTACAGCACTTACCACCTTCTAGCGTACTGTGCAATTTACATGATTATTGTATCTGTAGTTTATTTTCTGCTCCTCCTACTAGAATGTAAGCCCTCCAAGGGCAGGGATCTTTATTTTGTTCGCTTGTAGATCCCAAGTGGCTAGACCAGTGCCTGAAACACAGTAGGCAGTCAATAAAAACGGACTCTGGGGAGGGAGGGACTGTTTCTTATATCTCTTATACAGGTGAGAGAACTAAGGCTCTGGGAGCTTCAGTATTTTGCTCAGGCAGAGCGAGTATGTGGCAGACCAAGCTGGGTTTCAAGGAAATAGTGAACCTGTGGAAGGCTTGAATGATTCCCTTTCTCTTGGTTAGTGTTTATCTAGTATATCTTTTTTCTGTCTCTAACTTTTGGCCTCTTTATGTCATTCTTTTTAACTTTCAATCTGTTTTAAGCTTTGATTTTGCTTTGTTTCGGGTAAACAAATGAAATCTGTAAATCTATCTTTTAACTTGTGAGTTTATTCCATCTAAACGTATTGCGATTACTGGTCATGTTTCATTTCCAGCATTCTATTTTGTAGTTTCAGTTTACTTTGCTCTGCATTTCTCCTTTCCTGCTTTGTACCATGCAGTCATGGTCAAGAGCACGGGTTCCAGAGATACTCTATCTGGGCTTGACTGCATCGCCTGAGAACTGCGCAGTCTTAACCAGGATACCTAATTTCTGTGACACTCAGTTTCCTCATACACAGAAAGGGATAATATCCACCTCAAAGTCTGTGAGCATTAAGTGATAAAATATATAAAGCACTTAGACTAGCGGCTGGCCTAGTCTACATGCTCCATTCTGGCTCCTTTGTTTTTATTCTTTTTTTAAACACGTATATTAGAGATTACTCTTGAATTTTAAAGAACATCCTAGATATTGAAAGTTAAAGTTTGTTGTTTAACTCACCTATTGAATTTTATATATTAATTGTTATCTTTTTTTTTTTTCCCATATTTTCTGTTTGGTTCTTTAAAAAAATCAATCTGTTCTTTTTTTCACTACATTTTCTATGATTCATTTTATTTTTAAAAATGGTTCGGCCATACTTATTTTATGCTCTCTTTTAGATTGCTTCATAATTTTAGGCTCTGGAATACTAGTTATCCTGGAGTTTTTTAGGTTTGCTACTTCTTACTTACGGTTAATTCTTTCTGACAGTTCTCAGGGGCGTGTGTGTGTGTAGAGTTGTGTGAGCTTCTCCTCAGCAAGCATTATTTTTCCTGTGACCCTCCCATGCACCCTGGTTTATAGTTTCCCTGGAGAGCAAATGTGTGCTGCTTGTCCTTAGGCCTTAAATGATTTGACCAACCTGGAATTCTGTTATTTTTTTTCCTTAGGGACTCCTGCAGCATATGTAAATCAGGATCCCACATCCACGTGAATGAAGCATGAGCATGGAGTGTAGATGTTGTAAGGGAGACCGTTCTTCCCTCGAGACTCTGGCAGCACCAGTTTCCTTGTCCCTCTGCTGTGCCAGTGCCTAGAGTTCTTCGAGGCTCCCTTTCACTGAGGAGGCAGCCCTTCCAATGACTTTTATGCAGGGGTCTCAGTAAAGTGCGAGAGTCCCTCCTTCTGCTATGAACCCTTTTCCCTGAATGGATATTATAACCCCACTCACTCTGCAGATTAAACCCCTTCCCTCCAGGGTGGCGCGGCATCAGCTCACAAGCTTCCATTCTGGCTGTAAGTTTCCTCTTCATTGTTGTCACCTGGGAGCTTCTCTTTCCTTCATCGTTAGCTCTGTGTTATTTTTGCTGTTGTTGTATTTTATCCAGCATTATTAAACATTTTACTTAAAAGGGATCCAAATTAGCTCAGTTCACCATGTTTCCAGAACTGAAAGCTTCAGTTCTAGGGTGTCTGTTTGATTCTTCTTAAAAACACATTCCAGTAATTTCTCTGGTGAAAATCTTGATCTGTTCATCTGTTTTCTTTATCACTTCCTCTATTTTCTTAAACATATTAAAAGTAATTATTTTATAGTCTTTATTGGTTTGCATCTATTGTCTAATGTTTTGTATTCTCATATTATCAATCATATAGCCTTGATGCTTTGCATGTCTAGACATTT